TGCGTTGCTACAGTATTTTCTACGGGCTGCACATTGTTGCAGTCTGCATGACGTGCTGGAAGGGCGGTGGACTAGACTTTCCATGATTATGAGAGAGAAAGGTGCTGGTGCCTTCATGTAGGTCAAGAGATTAAACGGCGGAGAACAGCAGAGAATGTATCGTAGTTGCTTTCATATGTCTACAGTGATGGTGTGAGGAAAGGGTGCGTGCACTGATAAATTAGCAAGATGATTAGCAAGCGAAGTAAAGACAGGGTAATTAGAACAACAAGAGATAACAGTGGCGCGTCGCGAGATTGATGGAGATATAAATCTTGCCAAGTGGTATGCTAATAATTAGTGAATGATAATAATTTGTCATTGTGCGCGTGCTGCGTGGGCTAAGCAGAGTATGTGCCTTGTGCGTGCTACGGGGATTATGAAGAAGGTGAATAACGAGAGATGGAGCCGGATTAGGATGACAATAGTGAGTCGAGCTGTGCTGGAGAGTATTTGGACAAGGAATAAATTAGAGCTCAATTCGAGAATTAGTGCAATAAAATTTAATTTCTCATTTACCCCATGCAATAATACATAAACATGATGCTCATGATATGGTTTAGTGTTTTGATTAAGGCGTAACACCAAGGGTGTTACAAATCTACCTCCCTAAAATAAAATCTCGACCCGAGATTTCATGTGCCTAGTGTGAGAAAGAGATAGGGAAATACATTTCGACGCAACAACTAACTATCAGAACTAGAGAGGAGGTGGGGGTATTGCTTTAATAGGTAACTCTCTTATTCCCACGTGGCTTCGTCCTCTGAATGGTTTTGCCACTGCACCTTGTAGAACTTTACTACTCTGTTCCTGGTCACTCTCTCCTTCTCATCCAAGATTTTAATAGGGTGCTCCACATAAGTCAAATCTGGCTGGAGGGGAAGCTCTTCAATTTCCACAGCTTCATCAGGAGCACGTAGACATTTCTTCAATTGCGATACATGAAATACATTGTGTACCGTAGATAAAATATCAGGCAGCTGGAGACGATAAACAACTGGACCACACTGTTCCAGAACCTTGTACGGACCCACATACCGAGGGGCTAGCTTGCCATGGACACCAAACCGATGCACCCCTCTTATAGGAGATACTTTGAGATACACATAATCTCCAGCTGCAAACTCCAAAGGCCTTCTTCGCTTGTCAGTATAAGCCTTTTGTCGGCTCTGAGCTGCCTTCAAGTGGCTTCGAATAATGCTTACTTTCTCTCGAGCCTCCTTTATGAATTCAGGCCCAAAGTACCCACGGTCTCCCACTTCAACCCAGTTCAGTGGCGTTCTACACTTCTGCCCGTATAGAGCCTCAAATGGTGCCATGCGGATGCTCTCTTGGTAGCTGTTATTATATGAAAATTCAGCTAACTTCAAGCACTTATCCCACTTCTTAGGAAAAGAAATGGTACAAGCCCTCAACATATCCTCGAGCACCTGGTTCACCCTTTCAGTTTGACCATCAGTTTGTGGGTGGTATGCTGAGCTTCTAAGAAGATGAGTACCTAGACAGTGCTGCAATTGCTCCCAGAAACGAGAGACAAAGACTGACCCTCTATCAGAGACGATAGTAAGGGGAACTCCATGTAGGGTCACAATCCGATCAAAATATATCTCAGCATACTTCTTGGTAGAATATCTAGTGTCCACTGGGATAAAATGGACAGACTTGGTGAGACGGTCCACAATGACCCAAATAGAATCAAAGCCCATGGAGGTGCGGGGTAAACCCATAATGAAATCCATGGAAATATCCTCCCATTTCCAAACAGGAATAGGCAAGGGCTGCAAATATCCTGGGGTACGCATATGATCTGCTTTAACCCTACCACAAGTGTCGCACTCCGCGACGTGCCGGGTGATGTCATGCTTCATGTTAGACCACCAGAACAAGTGGCGCAGATCATGATACATCTTGTTACTGCCAGGATGAATAGACAGTTTATGTGAGACCTTATTTATATGTGACTTGATAGCCCAGAAGCAAGACAGCCCTGCCATGAATTTATGTGAGACCTTATTTATATGTGACTGAAACTATGATGAATTTATGTGAGACCTTATTTATATGAGACTTGGTTAATTACAATACATTTGTGAAAAATTTTAGAGCACATCATATATTGTTACGTGTCCTATTTGCTTAATATTACTCCAAATATATACCGTTATGTGTATTACATACTATAAATTTGCTCTACTATTATGCGTGAATTTTTATTTGCTTAATATTACTCCAAATATAGAACAAACAAACAAAACTCTGCAAAAAAAAATGTACGCTAGGGACAAAACGGTCTTTTTATCCTTGACTTAACATCGTCAAATGACAAAAACGGACGAAAAGCCGTAGAAGGAATGAAAGTTCATTTCAGGACCGTAGAGGTAAGTTAAAAAAAACCATACAAGAAAGAGCCATACAGGTAAAAAGCTCAAAATTTTGTCTCATCAATCAGGATGTCCCCAACGGCTGCCATCTCGCTAGCGAGGATGAGTACGTACCCAGTCAGGATAAAACAGAAAAAAAAAAGTCTTCGCACTAGTGAACCAGCAAGCGCTTAGCTTGCATGTTTCTCAAGAATCTTCAAGTCTCTCACATACTTCACCACCATCTGGCTTTTTACTTTTAAATCATTTTTATGCTCCACATCAGCTGGCGATTTGCAGAGACTGTTGGGGATGCCCTCAGGCCAGTGGTTCCGGCCGGGCAACATATAAAATTGCAGGGTGGATCGCGATTAAAAACTTCCATTTGTGCACACGTAATACTGGAGCAATTATTTCAGATTTTGGATCACTAACACGATAAATTATCCCTAATTCCTGGCTCCGCACATAAGCCCCATACGGACAATCAGTTCATCGCCAATGCATTGCATTCTTCGCGTTGTTGCCATGGTCACATGCAACGGAAGTGGATCGTGACACCTTAAGATCTGTATGTAATGGAGTTTTTTCAAACGAATATAATCGGCAATAGAAGTATATGTTGTACTTGTACTTGGACCAAAAAAATAAAAGAGAGAGCCCTGAGGCTCATAACCCAGTACTGTACGAGGGGATTCGATACTCTCCCATTTGAATCATCATACTTGTGTCATGCAAATTTCAGAAACCAGGATCCAAGCAACAGTGTGACGATATTTACTACTCCTTCCGTTCAAATTTATTGGCTGTTTTAGCTTCACAACTTTAATTATGTATCTAGATATATCATATATCTAGATGCACAACATCAAGTTATGTAGTAGAAAGTAAAAAAAATGTAATTTGGGACAGAGGGTGGTAGGGTGCTTGGAGCAAATAAAAAAGAAGGGTTAACTATACAATTCAAAGGCAGACGAGGTACTGGCACGGGGGAGGATTGACTTGCCACCAATATGCATTGCTGGTCATCGCTCATAGTCACAATGGGACATTTCATATCTGGTAATTGTCCAATTGATCACTAACCGGACACATTATTGTCAGTTTGTCACTTGACCTCGCTTATTGTCCGTAATTTCTGGCTCCGCCCACATGGACACTCAATCATGGTACATTGCTTCATTTCATCCAGTGCATTCTTTGCTTTGTTCTTAGTGTTCAAGTGCGGTCTAGTATTAGAGCAACTCCCAGATATTTTTTATATCCTTCTAATTTATAGAAATAGAAATTTTGATAAAAAAAACATACCCTCGATCAGCCTTTATAATTGGATCTCCAAATATAGACATATTCTATTCCATATTTCTCGTTAGCTAAATATAAAAAACGAGATATAGAAAAATTGATGGATGGTATAAAGATATACAACACAATTTTAACTCAAATAACTCTCCAAATAACGATTTAGAGAGTAAATTTAAGAAAGACTCTTGTAGGCTCTTATGGTCAATTTGGTTGGGGTTTTCAACCTGCTTTTGCTTTTGCAAAAGACAACCAAAGGGCCCAAAAGCTATAAGTGCTTTTGCTAAAAAGCAACTTTTTCCGTGGTACAAATCCAAAAACACCTCTTCCCCTGCTTTCACTAGCTTTTGGGTAAAAAAAAATTACTCACCTGCTACTGGTTATGTTGCATACCAGTTCGTTTTTATGTTTTCTTTCCCGTCCGCGACTTCCCTTTCCTCCTGTCCGTGACTTCTTCCTCGCATCCGACCCTAGCTCCGACGTCTTCCACGCGGCTCCAGCGGCGGGCGCGGCACTAGAGGCAGCGTGCTTAGCACTGGCGGCGGCAGGCGCGGGCGCGGGCGCGCGGGCTGCCCAAGTGCGGCCCCGGCGAGCTCCCTCCCTCCCCAGCGAGCGCGAGCGCAGCCCCCATCTTCTCCGGCCGGCCGGCTCCCTCCCTCCCCTGCAAGCGTGACTTCGACCGCCACCGCGAGCGTGAGCTCCCATCGCCGGTGTTTCGAGCCTTGCCGGCCGACGAGGCCCCTTCCCGTGCACGCACAGGAAGAAGAGGGAAGAGGCTGACGAGCAGGGTTTGCTCGTCAGTGAGAGAGAGAGAGTTCATAGCTGTGATCTATGGATGACATGTGGGGTCTACTCAATATATTTTCAAAAGCCACAGGTGCTGAACCAAATGGACTTTTGACTTTTCTTACAACTACTTTTCCGAAAACCGCAGCTCACAGCTATTTTTTTTAAAAGCCACGGCCCAACCAAACCGGCGTTAGAATAGGAAAATATCGATGAATGTCGATAGAGGAGACGTTTACTCCTTAATTATACGATGTATTAGCAATTTTTTAGAGCACACCGTAGATTTTTTTTTTTAAGATCCGACCGACGGCCGGGTGTAAAAAATTGTACAGCACGCGGTCAAACAAAGAAAATTACGGTATGGTTACTGCCGGTTAATTAACAGACTTTACTGTCAAAAGGGCTTGCTAAGTACAAGTTGATCTCGGCAAGCATTTGCAGGAGTACTAGCAGTGAAGTTCGGATGGATGAGCACGACGGTCATTGGTTGCAGTTGCAGCTGCATGCGCATCAGAGCTCGGCGTGCAGGACGACGGCCTCGTCTTTCCCCTGCTCCTCGTCGTGGTCGTCGGGGTGGTGCTTATCAGGCGCGCCGCCGCAGGTGCTGCTGCGGAGGCAGTCAGCGGCGGGCTGGACGCGACCGTAGTCGAACCCGACGGCGCAGTTGCACACGGTCTGCACCTCGCCATCATCATCAGCGCGGCGCAGGTTGATGTCGCTGAGCACGATGCCGGTGCAGGGCACGGCGTCGCTGCACGCGAACCTGATGGCCTCGGCGAGCCGCGACGTGCCGCTGATGTTGCGGTACGACACGTCGGACACGGCCACGGCGGAGGTCTGGTTGGCGCAGGGGCGGGTGGCAGCGTCGCAGTAGAACTGGTCGATGATGATGGGGTGGTCGACGCCATCGACGGCGACGTTGGCGAAGCGCACGCCGCGGACGTACCCGGCGCCGCCCTGCCACGTCTTGATCCGCACCCCGTTCTGCGAGCGGCTGATCCGCGCGCTGTCCAGCGCCACGTCCGCCACCGCCGCGAACGCGCCGCCCTTGCCCAGGCTGCCGATGCTGATGCCGTGGCCCGGGCCGCAGTCGATGTCCCGCATCTTGACGCCGAAGCTGCCGTTGACGATGGAGATGCAGTCGTCGCCGGTGCCGATGCGGCACCTCTGGATGGTCACCGCCGTGGACTCGGCCACGTGGATGCCGTCCGTGTTGGGGCTGTCCTCGGGGGCCTCGATGCGGAGCCCGCCCACGCGCACGCCGCGGGACCTGGACACCGTCACGTGAATCTGCTGCGCGTTCTGCACGCGGAGACCCCGCACGCGCACGCCCCGGCACGAGTCGATCGTCACCGCCGTCGGGGCACCCCTGCACGGCTGCAGCAGGAGTGGGCGTGGCCGGCGGCGGCGAGAACAGAGTGCCGTCATTGGAGCGAAACAATGGGAAGGAAGGAAACGAACGAAGGAACAGTGGAGCAGAGCAGAGACGTGGAATAAATGCACGCGACGTATACGTACGTTGGACTTGTTGATCTTGCAGGAGTTGGCCCACCACTTGGAGCCGGAGCCGTCGATGACGCCGCCGCCCTGGATGCGCGCGCCGGCGAGCCCCGAGAAGAGCAGCCACAGCCGGGGGCTCCGGGGGTCCCACTCCGACGGCTCCTCGGGCGCCACGATCGTGCCCTGGATCTGCACCACCACCGCATCACAATGCATGCTATGCAAAGATCCTTGAATCGAGGCCTTTTTTGTTTTTGGCCGTAAAGTTTGGGGGTGTGTAAGTCAGGGTCATATGGTGTATTGTACGGGGTGTTTAGATACTAATGAAAAAATAAATTATAGAATCCGTCAGTAAACCGTGAGACGAATTTGTTAAGCCTAATTAATCCTATCATTAACACATGTGGTACTGTAGCATTTATTGTCAAATCATGGACTCATTAAGTAATTAGCTATTTTTTTACTTTATATTTAATACTCCATGTATGTCTTCAAACCTTTGATGGGATATGGTGTAAATTTTTTGGGAGGAACTAAAATTGAATTGGACTGAAGCAACAGCAATCACCTGGATGATCATCCTGTTGTCCTTGCAGGGACCCACGAACTGGATGGCGCCGACCTTGTAGCGGCGGCCGGCGGGCACCAGGAACACTGCGTTGTCCAGCGAGCACGCCGTCTTCCACGCGCTCGCGAACGCCTGATGAGTGATGGCAACCAATGAAGCAGTCGCAGCCAACCACATTCAGTCAACCCGTTCATGGACGAAAAAGATTGTTCAGAAAAAATTTAAAACGAAGAGCAGATAAATGCAGGTGACGATCTTTTCGATTCGAGCTCGGGCGTGCGGCGGATCGCATCCCGTTTCTTGACGCACGCAAGTACGGTATGTCTCGGCGAGATCTGCACGCTGACATGGCGACGTATGAGTAGGATGGATGGGTGAGTGCTGGCTGTGGGTGGATGACGAAGGTAAGCAACCGCCGAGGGAGCATCTGCACTCTCCTGCTGCTGCAGGACTGCAAGGCGTCGCCATCAGATCTCCTTCCGTTCTTGTTCTTGGCTACCAACCCCATCATCATCATCATCATCACACGGAAAGTGTGGCGTCCTGGAATCGCAACGTCTGGATCCTCCTACCTCATGCCGCTGTCACGGCCAGCGACATTTTGTGTACTACTCCTACCTCAATATACATTATGCGCAGTAAAAGCTATATATGTAGAAGAGCATACTTACAATTTGGAACCGGAAAGGGCATGTGTAATCCTATGTCGTCTAATTGAATTTCCAAGCAAAGCGACTGGTGGAACTGGTGATAGATATATCTCACGTCTCATTTATTTCCTTTCATTTATGCATGCGCCACTGGTCAGTGTGTATGTATAATTGGAGATTTGTTTGCAAGGAATATCATTCGGGAAGAAGTTCATTCCTACTCTTTTCATGCCATTGTCACTGCTGGCATGTTGCTCTCCCTGAAAGCAACTGATCTAGCGTCAAAGCTTCTTACTTGACTCAATATACAAGAGGAGATTTGTAAGTTGTAAAATCGATTTTTTTGAGCAAAATAAGCTGTAACATCGTTATTCAGACAGATCAAGTAACCTTTTTTTATCAGATATATGGATCAGATGTGGGCGTGTTACTTAGTACAAAAGAAGAGAGTTGCGTGCTGGTTAAACCTTGGACGACTCAGCTTTCAGTTACAGGTGAGGTGACATGTACATCTAGTATCGTGGATGCACACACATTGCAAGCACCGTACACCAGACATACTCCTCCCATGCACCTGTCCAGGCCACATGATGGCAATACACCTCAAGGAAATGGAACACTACTTTTGGACCTGTCCTGCTAGCCGGTGCTCATGATCATCCCAAGAAGAAATTCAGACTTGCAAGCAAATATAGCTAGATCGTGGCTAGGCAATGCCAATCCTGGGAGGCCGGACAGTTACAGCCTAGGAGTGTATCTCTATCTGATGATCTCATGGGTCCTATCCGCTGTTATTTTAATCCTACATTAAGCTGATGACTAACCGGCCTGTGTTCTTCTCTAATCTAATAACATATATAGTACACAGATGCTGGTATTTTACTATTGTGGAGTGAGTCAAAAAGGATGGAGATAAACGTAAAACCTGCTCGAAACGCATCTGAAAAAGCGTGTTTTACTGTGGAGTGTCACCACAAACCGACCTAGCTTATGCACGCGTGATGCAAAAATGCAACAGCTAGTGTCTCCGCACACGCGCTGTGAGACGCAGAGATGGCCGGTCGATCGGCACGTACGCACCTGGGTGTCGTCGCCGTCTCCATCGCCCGCCGCGCCGAAGCTGTCGACGTTCACCACGTTCCTGCACGCCCCCTTCCCCTGCACCGCCATGACGCGGTCCTCCTCGTCGTCGTCGTCCTCGTCGTCCTCCCACTCCGACTTCAAGAAGCGACCTTCGTCCTCGGCTTCTCCGTCCCTAGCCGACGACGACGACCATAGGCTCAGGACCTGCTCCTCCCTCGCCTCACCGCCACCACCACCGTCGCCGTCTCCCACGGCCATCCTCGGTGCCGCGGCCACGAGCACCAGCGCCAAGAGCAGCGCGCACCTCGTCGCCGCACCCATTGCACGACGCATGCGTCCTACCTTAGCCCTGCACTCGTGTACGGGAGGTGTCTAATGGCGCGGCGGCGGGCAGGCGACGAGTGCGAGTGGGTGCATGCACACGACACGACGCGTATGTATGTATGTATGCCTTGGCTTGCAAGCGTGCAGTGACTTATACCAACTCGCTCCGGTACAGGCTCGAACTGGCAGCACAGAGAGAGCAGAGGGAGATGAAGAGGTGTGTACCGTGCGAGGTGGAGATGGATCGAGTGGGGGAGGAAGAAAGAAGAGGAGGGGGAAGAAGGGGTGGTCGGAGGACTTGAAGTGCAAGTGAATGATAAAAAATGAGCGTGCGACAGAGGGAGGTGTGGTTTATGCTTTACTCATCCTCTGAAAAAAGAAAAACCAAACCAAAGGAAGCTGCAGCTGCAGGGGGGCTAGCTGGCCCCTTTCCTTTCCTTTCCTTTCCCTTGGCACGCATTTCCCATCATTTTGTGGTGTCCATTTGTGCCGGCCGAGACGTATTTGCAGGTAGGAGTACATACATAATTATTTCTTGCAAGGCAATGCTAATAGTAGTAGTCGTAGTTAGATAAGGCCAACACCGAAGCAGAGGAACAACGTCAACTTTGTCATGGTGTTCAGAGCATGCTATGCAAATGCGCTACATACAAACATTCTAAGACGTAAAGGCATGTGCGTGGCAGAGGAATCCGGCTAGGTTTGGCGCTGTCATAAAAAAAAAGTCTTATATAAGTACTTACTCCAGTATCCTCGTGGCATATTCAGGATGTATATCGTTTCATTAGGAGTTTAGGACAATGCTGATGGCTCTTTCGCGAAAGGATCACCAGGTGGCCGCGCCGGTCGCGGGAACGCCATGCGGCTTGCGCGGACCATGATTGCGCGTCCACCATGTGGCTCCATTGCCATTGCCGCGGCCGGCTCCAAGTGCGTCCTTGGCTGCAATGGATGGATTCAGAGTCCCAGATCCGGCTGGCCACCACCGGCATACGGCAACCATACGCATCGGTGACATTGCGACTTTTTCTTATATACACGAGGCAGGCAACCCCATTTTCATTTAAGCAAACGGAGATGCAGAAGTTTGTGAAGAGTTCTTTTTTTTTTGTCCTAGGACCAGGGGTCTGGCACCATGAGTGTCACTTGTACATAAACCTCTATTTTCTCTTACTTAATTAAGCATGAGAGCTCCTGCCTTTTATTTAAAAAAAAAGTTTGTGAAGAGTTAGAGGAACGGTGGCATATGTTATGTTGCCGAAAGTATTTTATTATGAATAAGAAACCGTTCGAAAATATTCAATTCTATAAATGAATTTCTACACCCTAGGATTTCGATCTTACCGTCAAGTGAGAAAAAAAAAGCCTCGATTTCTAAAGCTCCTTGTTTCTATCTCATGCAAGAGAAGAGGATATAAGGCAAAGACGAGAATAATAAGAGTATGACCAATGCAAGCGTATAACTATAGACTATAGTGGTCTCATTTAACACATAAGCAAAAATACAAAATGCATTTAACACAACATCCAAACTTCCAAGCTCACAGTGCATGCACCCATGTGCTTAGACAAAAGTGCAACAAGCCAACAATCCTTTTTCTCTCCCTCTCACAAGCTAACGTTCTCTCTCTTGAGGCTCTTGGTGACTCTGCGAGAACGACTGTCATTTTGCAGGCTACTAACTTTTCGTCTCTCCCCTCCACGGCATCTCCTATGCAGGGGTGAAGCCAGCACAACATCTACCTTACCATATATGATCTGCACCATAGAAACACACTTAGTAATAATGACTTTCTAATAAATTTTTGAAAACCGTCGGGATCAGTTGCCACTGCTCCCATCTGATGTGATACAATGAGACTACCAACCAACGCTGGAGCGTTTGGACTGATCTAAAAGGAACAAGTCCTTTTAGAAGGAATTGTGGGTCTTAATTCTCTATTGAGCACAAGAAAAAAGGGCTTGTTTTTTTTCTTATGTTGATTCTTCTTATGTCGAAGTAAGAATCATTTTTCTTCTTATTTGTTTTGTAAAAAATATTCTTTATTCGAGACAGGCAGCCCAGCAGTTCTCGACATCAGATTCCGCTTCCCTTGCTTCATTCCCTCTCTTGGAGCGTCCTTTAGTTTTAGTTGCAGTCCCCTGTCCTGATGAGGATGATTCTGCCAGCCACCTTGTATCTATGTTGAGCATCATGTCGATATTCTTCTATTAATACAATGATACAGCGCTCTCCTACGTGTTCAAGAAAAAAAAAAAGCATCATGTCGACACATTGTTGACTTGCGAGAGCACGTTGCTTGTGCGCTGGTGCAGTGGTGCTGGGCTTGCTCGTGACGCGCACATTTTTCCTGCTGCAATGCTGACTGTTTGGTACGCATCACCTTCCACTCTTCTTTTTCGGAAACCGGAAAAAAGTGGATACAAATAAAAAAGAGCACCAAAAGAAGCGTGGCATCGTTGTCCATTGCTATAGCAGCTTCCATTTCAGACATGCTAAGGCCTACCAAAAAATGTCCGACTAGTTCTGCAAGACTACTTCAGTCGTATTTTTTTAACGATTGTTTTCCTCTCACAACATTTCAGTATAAGCCATTTGTACAGTTCCTAGCACATGTTTATATTACCGGCAAAAACCGCAAGGATCCAATAGGATGAGGATGCGCTGTAGAATGCACATGAATTGCAAGACGCAAACCTGATCTCCTTTACCTTCTGATAAAACCTCAAGCGGGGGGAAAGTGACCTTACACCTGGACAACTGAGGTCCAGAACTCAGCCAAGGGAAAACATGCTGACATGTACACCGCTGTACGAACACGCTTACCATCTACTAGTTACTGTGTATACTCTGCCCGCCAATTTCGATCGAGTGTCCTTACATAGGTCCTTGTCACGACATGTTGATCTCCACGCTGCCGCTCTTGGGGAACCGGCAGACGGGGCACACGTCGGAGACCCTCTCGCAGTCGATGCACAGGCAGAGGTGGCGGCACGGCATCACCAGAACCGACGCCTCCTTCCCGCCGCACCACCTGCAGGCCCCCAGCCCGACGGTAGCCGTCGTCGTCGTGCCCCTGCCCCTGCCGCCACGGCCGCCCAGGAGGCCGGACTGGAAGAAGCCCTCAGGGGTGGCGGCTCCTCCGGCGTCACGGTTCTGGCTGGAGGCCGCGTTGTCGACCTCCTCGCTGTCGCCGGTGCCTTCTCGGGTGAGGTTGGTGCTCTGCGCCACCACCTGCATCAGCCTGGTCTTCAGGCTGTTGGCGACCGACTGGTTGTACATGGCCGCCGACTGCCACGACTGCACCTCCATGGCGACTTGCCTGATCTGCTCGTTCAGCTCCTTGCTCTTCCTGTTCATTGCCTCTGCCTCCAGTTCCTTCTCCCGCAGCTTCTTCCCCACCGCTCGTTCGAGGTTCGCCAGGAAAGAAATCATCCGCCGCTGGTTCGCCTCCTTCATCTGCTTGCCGATTTGCTCTGCCTGTGGGGAATAATAAGAGCCATGAAGTGGAAAGGGGTTATAAGAAGAAATCACCCTAGTGGTAGACTGTAAAATTGAGAACCAAGCTCATATATTATCGTGATAACATAGTATGCATAATTGATTTGAATGTTCTGCATAGAACTTGAAAGCAGGAGAATCAATGCACTACAGGCTACAGCAAGCAAATGTATCTTGCAATGTTCTAACACAGCATATTTAGATAACTCAAACCATTTAAATGTTAATATTAAATATTAAACTATATAAAGGTGTGTTACTTCAAATCAAACAGTTAGACCCATGTAACATACAAGATCAAAACACTTAGACACCAAGCGCACTATCTCATATATTCTCGTTATAACATGGTATGCATAACTGATTCATATGTTCTGCATAGAAACTGAAAGCAGGAGGAGAATCAATGCACTACAGCAAGCCAATGTATCTGACAATGTTCTGACACAGCATATTTAGATAACTAAACCATTCAAATATTAATATTAATATTAAACTATATAAAGGTCTACCACTGTTTCCATGATGGAATAACCAAACAAGAAATTCATAAATAATTATTTATTTGTTCATTTCATCCTTGTCCCATAAAACACAATATCCAGGATTTGATTGATGAATGAAGCTGCGCTGAATATTTACCTGAAGACTTAAGTAATAGCCAATCTCTCTGTTTTCTTTGTCCAGTTCAGCCATGAGATCATCAACAGAGGACATTGTGGTAGGCAACGAGGTCATGCTAGCACTGCCAGATGTGATCGATGAATTGTGCTCATCATCCTCATAAGACAGCCTCAGACCAGTTGATACAGCACTAGGATTGCCAACCCGTGCTAACCGATCAGCATTCTGTTGATGATAGTCGTTCAAGGACATCTGAAGCTTCAGCAGCTTCTCAGTCCCTGCGTCAACGTTTGTAGTCCTTGCTTGGTTCATAACAGGAAGGTGGGTGTTTCCAGTGTAATTACAATAACCAGCAGGAGCAACCGCGGGAACTGCATTGATAATAACACAAATGTCGATCAGAAAAAATTCAGTGGTATGGCAAGAAGGCATAGTTCAATTAACCAGTTTCACTGAAAATATGGATGCCAATATGTAGGTTTATGGAAAAGCAAGGTAGGGCCAGGATAATGTTATGACTACTAGCGAATTGGGTGTTTTCATTGTCAAAATTAACAAAGTGACCTTGAACGCTCCTGTGAGATAAAATTTCACTGGCATTACAGACAGAATTAGATGTTACTGACATGTTCAGACCAAACGGTAAGCAGGTGGGATGGAACATTGTGGCTGCAAATCTCAATGGTCCAAAATCGAGCACAAACATTACTCTAGCACAAACTATTAAGGAACACAGAACTAACGCAGAAATATTGGCTACATCTGAAGATACAAATCAGCTAGTAAACGGTTCCGAGCCAGGAAAAATAACGCAGCAACAAGTAATAAGCAGGTAGGTTATCCGTCTCACCTGCGGTGCTTCCGAACAGCTGCAGCGGCGCGG